CCCCCTCCATTTGATAACCCCTCCCACCCCCTCCATTTGACAACCCCCTCCCACCCCCTCCTCCTTTCTCCTCCATTGACAACCCCTCCCACCCCTTCCACTTTCTCCCCCTCCATTTGATTAACCCCTCCCACCCCTGCCCATTTGACAACCCTCCCACCCCTCTCTTTTCTCCCCCTCCATTTGACAACCCCTCCCACCCCCTCCATTGACAACCCCTCCCACCCCTCCTCTTTCTCCCCTTCCATTTGCGATAACCCCCCCACCCCCTCCTCTTCTCCCCCTCCATTGACAACCCCTCCCACCCCTCCTCTTTCCTCCCCCTCCATTTGACAACCCCTCCCACCCACTCCATTTGACAACCCCCCTCCTCTTTCTCCCCTCCATTTGATAACCCTCGCCACCCCCTCCTCTTTCTCCCCTCCATTTGATAACCCCCTCCCCCCCTCCTCTTTTCTCCCCCTCCATTGACAACCTGCCGCACCCCCTCACTTTCTCCCCCTCCATTCTGATAACCCCTCCTCCCCCCTCCATTTGACAACCCCTCCACCCCCCTCCTCCTTTCTCCCCCTCCATTTGACAAACCCTCCCACCCCTCCATTTGGACAACCCCTCCACCCCCTCCTTCTCTCCCCCTCCATTTGATAACCCCTCCCACCCCCTCCCTCTTCCCCCCTCCATTTGATAACCCCTCCCACCCCTCCTCTTCTCCCCCTCCATTTGACAACCCCTCCCACCCCCTCCACTTTTCCCCTCCATTTGATAACCCCTCCCACCCCTCCATTTGACAACCCCTCCCACCCCTCCTCTTTCTCCCCCTCCATTTGACAACCCCTCCCACCCCCTCCTCTTTCTCCCCCTCCAGACAACATCAGGAGGTCCTCCTTCGCCGCCACCCCCGGCCTGGTCTTCCTCAACGCCTCCCACAACAGGATAGTCAACCTCGAGGAAGACGGTTTCCAGGAGTTGACAGAGCTGATCACCCTCGATCTCTCGTTCAACAGGTGAGAGCAGGGGAGTATGGGCCTTTGGTGGGGGGATATAGTGCTGATTTTTCCCTCATTTTTACTATGTTTTGGGGTAGGGTAGGTTAGTTAGTTTGTTATTTGGTTAACAGGATAACTTAAAATGTTATGAACAGGTGTTTTTTTTTTTTTTTTTAATCATAGGTGTGCCTTAGCCTAACTTAAATGCTATTAAATTTTGGTGGTGATCAGGATTTTTTTTTGATAAAGGATTCATTAGTATTGCGAGATATGGAAACACGGACGTTACCAGTGTACTTGAGAAAGAGATAATTTTGATTTAATTCTTCAAGTGTGAATATTCTATTTCATCAGTGACGCTATTGCCTTGCCGGAGGTATGCGCTCTCTGAGTGCTTTTAATTTTATTTATTAATCTTCTTTATCAGATGGTTAAGGCAGAATTTATTGTCGGGATGACACAAATAAATTTTATTCCCTTATAGAACCATACATTTTGTATTCACATATAATAGGTAAGAACAATATATATTCCCACCTGCCCACCTATCTATTCATCAACCTATCCACCTACTCACCCGCCTACCTACCTCTCTATCCTCGACATATCCACCTGTCTACATACCCCCCCTCCCCCCCAGATTATCCAGCCTGAGAGCCGGCGCCTTCCGGGGTCTCGTCAAGCTGGAGGAGCTCGACCTGTCCTCCAACTTCCTGACGGAGGTCCCCGCCGACGCCCTCAAGGAACTGGCTAGCCTCAGGACGCTGGTGCTCCACGACAACCTGATCCAGGTGAGCTTCTTGTTGTGTTTTTTCTCTTTCTTTCTTTCTCTAATTCGTCTTCTCTTCTTCTTCTTCTTTTTTCTTCTGCTTCTTCTACTACTACTTTTTCTCCTCCTCCTCCTTCTTCTTCTTCTTTTTCTTCTTCTTTCCTCCTCCTCCCCCCCTTCTTCCTCCTCCTTCTCCTCCTCCTCCTCCTCCTTCCCCTCCTCCTTCTCTTCTTCCTCCTCCTCTCCTCCTCCCCTCCTCTCCTCCTCCTCCTCCTCCTCCCCCCCCTCCCCCTCCCCTCCCCCTCCCCTCCCCTCCCCCCCCCCCCCCTCCTCCCCCTCCTCCTCCTCCTCCTCCTCCTCCTCCTCCTCTCCTCCTCCTCCTCCTCCTCCTCCTCCTCTCTCTCCTCCTCCTCCTCCTTTTCTACTTCATATTCCCATTTCCTTCCTCTTCCTCTTCCTCTTCCCTCTTCGCCCGCATCCTAGCCCCTGTCCCTCAGACTTTCATCTCTTATCTCTTTCCTAATCTTCTGGTAATTATTTTCTTAGCCAATCTTAGATATACTTTTGAAAATTAAAATGTCTTCTTGAATCAAATGCTGAAGGTCTGGTATTAGTTCAATACATTTTTGAATTAAGAAATTGATAGAAAAAAGGACTCAGGTTGTATTATTTTATCATTGGTATTGCAAGCATTCCGATAACAGATATCACAGCAACAGCAGCAGTACCACCATCACCATCGCCA